ATATATAACAGGCTACATTACATTACATTAAATTACAATATATGTAATGTAAGCGCGTGTGCATTGTAACCGTGGGTTTGTATGTATACTAAAGGTTCGCGTGTCGCCTCGGCTGAGCTGTGATCTTAGGTGATACACGCACAGACACACATGCACGCGCGTCCACGCACGCACGCACACACACGCACGCACACACATGCACACACACTCATGCACGCGCATACGCACATACGCATATACGTGTGTACGCACACACACATATAGGCACGCACACTCACATGCACGCTCACACACGTGCGCGCATCTATATATATGTATACATGTTATGTCCATTCTTGATCATGGGCGCTCGGCTTCCAATGTAAAATATTGGTGTCCACCGGGTGACGTCATAACATCGCGTGTGTCCGCCGTCACATCGCATGTGTCCGCCGTCACATCGTGTGTTTCCGCCGTCACATCGTGTGTGTCCGCCGTCACATCGAGTGTTTCCGCCGTCACATCGTGTGTTTCCGCCGTCATTTCGTGTGTCCCCGCAACCACTTCGTGCATTACCTCCATCTCTGTTTCTTCACCAGCCGCTTGTTCTAGCACAAAGTAGTCTTGCCCAAGTAGGGCGCCACTGCTGTTAACTTCCGGTGCCGTGGGCGACGTTATAACGACGTCCACCTTCTGTGCACGTGATGCCAACGTCATTGCTTTGCCATCATGGCTATTTTCGAAACTAGTGTTTCTGTCCGACGTATCGTTGCCGAAACTGCCATCTGGTGGTGGGTGGATGGTATCGTCGATTATATACTCGTAGATGTGGGCCGACGCGAGCTGGCACGGCAGCGCGGGTGCCGAAAATCGCCGCTCCTCCGGGCGTATGCACACGCCGTTAGCATCCGCTGACCTGTTAGACGGAAAACGATGAACTGTATATTATCAACATACAGCTATAAGTACAGTCACTTTTTATATTATACAGTTGTATGTTATTATGTACAGTTGTATGTTATTATGTACAGTTGTATGTTATTATG